CATTGTCAGTATTTTAAGGTTTACTCTATAAGTGATAGCACATACACAAACACCCCCTCCTGGTCTGGCAAGCCTGCAGCCACACTGCTGGACTGCCCTCCCTCTCCAAGTCCATCCCTCCCACGCCAAGGCCTCGTACAATGTCATCCTCTTTGTTATAGTTGGCAATGTCCTTCCGGAGGGTCCGAATGATAATCATGCTCAGGATACCTGAAACGAACAGGAGAGGAAAGGTCATCAGCATTGCCAATCAAGTTTTCTGTGGTGTTCTGCTGAGTTGACAGCTGGCATGTGTAGCTTTCTCCAATGAGAACTGGCTAGGCAGCCACCTCAGGTCCTCTCCTGGGCAGAGCTGCACCCCAGCTACTTGGGGAGGGGTGCACAGAAGGCCACTCCCCAGGCAGGGGGAGGAAGAGCTGCTGGGATGGGGTGGGGCAGCCACAGTAACTGCTTGTTCATTCCAGGGGGAACAGCGCCCCACCTGCTCCATGCCTTGGTCCTACCAGCTTCTCAGCTTCTCTGGCCTCATCTTCTCCCAGGCTCCCCTCTCACTCACCCCTGGTTCTTTGCAGCTTCTCTTGTCAGTTCACGACCGCATCTCTCTCACCTCCATGCCATCACCCAGGCTATTCCCTTTGCCCGGAATGCCCCATTCTGCCCTGACTCCTACTCACATTTCAAGATTCGCCCTGGGCATCTTGGCCTTTCAACACCCCAAACAGTTCAGAGGCCCCCCGCTTGTACCTCTACAGCCCCCCGTTTACATCTTCAGGCAGCACAGTGTAGTGGTTAAGACAATGGGTTGTAGGACCTCAAGCTAACTTAATGTTTGCAGGCTTAGCTCATGGGACTTGAAGGACTGAGATGCTTGGAAAGTGCTTATTAACACAGCAGCTGGACCCTGGGTTAAACGTTTCAGAAACAGCAGCCAGCATTGTCTTTTCTTCTCATATGATATTGAAACCAGCAGTTTCATTCCACCTCTGCCCACCACCCTCCTCAGCACCCTCTCGCCATTTGGTTTCTCACCAGGCTTGTCCCACTGCAGGGCTGTGGCCCTTGCTGGGCCCTCTTTCCCTGGGCCTCTGAATAGTGGCTCCTCCTGTTTTAGAGAGGTCTTCTAGAACAGGGGTTGGCAAACTGCAGCTCGCGAGCCACATGTGGCTCTCTGGGTACATTCCATCTCAAAAGTTTGCCGACCCCTGAAAGAGCCAATCCTGTCCTTCACAACAATTCAAAAATCTTTCGAGAACCATAAATATATTTTTACATAATCACCATTATGTGGATAATATCCTGTAAAAATTTTATAAATGAAACTATGAGAGTTTCATTTTCATTTTTAATTTTACTTCCGAGCCACATGCTCGTGAACTGCAGTTTGCTGACCCCTGGCAGCTCTTCCATCTCAAAAGTTTGCTGACCCCTGCTCTAGAGCTTTCCTCAAAGGCTGTGTACTGGGTCACCTTGTTTATCTGCATCATAGCACTGACCACTCCACTACTGTCTCTCTCTCACCACCAAAACATAGACTCTGTGAGGCCCAGACTCGGTTGGGTTTGCTCACACTCATACCCCCAGCTGTGACCCGGAGCCTGCACAGAATGCATAATAAAGGCGTGCTGACTGAACGTGTGCATGAGGAGATGTATCTGTCTCCCCTAGGGAGCTCTCCAGTGTAGAGACCAAATCGTGTTTACCTTTGTACGCCTGACATCCAGCAGAGGCCTGAGGCCTGTTTTTGGCCTANCTGACTTCAGAACTGTAACTACTACATATTAGTTTAGTTTTTTTTGGTGGGTGTGTGGGTGGGTATTTTCATTGATCTGATTCCAGTCCTAATCCTGGTGCTGACTTGGGTAAGTCACTTAATGCCTGACCGCAAAGGAGGCCAACCTCATAGCGCTGACGCGTGGCTTCACTGATGGAGTGGCCATGGGGCTCTCTACAGTGCTAGGAAGCTCTGAGGAAGATCACATCTCCAGGGCCTGGGGCTGAGAGGACCCAGCCCTTCTTCTGAGATGGATGGCTTCGTCTGGCCCAGAGATACTGACATATGCCCCCTTCTTTAGGGAGGGAGGCCCACGCTGCTCTGGTGACGGCGCCCCACACCTGGCCCACCGGGCCCACTCACAGATGACGATGAGGATCATACAGAAGAGCTGAATGCCTGAGCCCAGCAAGGAGCTGAGGACCATGGGGTACTGGGGTGGCCTGAAGACATCACCATGCACCAGCTTCCATCCAGACTCTTCCATGGTGTCTTCCTGCAGTAAAGGGCCAGAAAGTGAGACTGCTTCTTCGGCTCTGGAGAACGTACTCCTGGAGGGACCACCCCCAAGGACCCACTCCGACTAGGGCTGAATGTCCCTCAGGTGTCATCTGGCTCCGCTCTGACATAGGAGTGTAAGTGACAAGACCAAGTGCTTCCCTGAGAACTGTCACATGGGACAAGGAGGGCACAAACATGAGGTTTACAGCTACATAAAGGGAAAATCTCTTCCCCAAATGGCACAAACCTAATGCATGGGAAAATAATGTAAACATTAACATACCAAAATGTTAACTGTGATAGTTTTTGGGTAGTGAGATTTAGAAGCAATTCATTTTTTATAATGACTATAAAAGTAATATGTGGTCTTACTTGTATAATAAAAAAAGTAAAAATTTTTTGGTGTGTGGCATGATATTCAAATGAACAAAAAGTAATGTTTACTGTAGAAAAATTTTTAAAAATCTAGAAAGACTGAACAACAAAAGATATAAAACTCAAACCCTCAAAGATAAAAAAACCCCAAAAGATCTAGAAAATGATTTATACACTTAATACCACTCTTTTGATATACTTCCTTTAGTACTTTATGTATATATGTATATATATATAATTTCTAACCAATGAAATTGGAGTCATACTATATTTTCTGTATACTTATTATCTTCAGTTGATACATGAAAATTTCCTCATGCCAATAAATACTCTTTGCAATTACTATTTTAATGTCCATATACTTTTTCATTGTACAGCTATACCATAATATAACCAATCCATCATTATGGAATATTAGGCTATATCCAGTTTATTTAAATTATAAATAAAGCTGCAATAAATATTTCTAGACCAAGTCTTTGTGTTTTTGATGCTTTCCTTAGAATTCTAGAAGAATTACTGGATCAGTACAAGTTAACTATTTTACAGTATGTACTGTATGATATGTACTGCCAATTCATTACTTTTCAGGAAATACCAATTTACAGTTGCGTGGGTGGCACAGGAAGGGGCTTATCGTGTTAACCTTGCTAATAATCAGTACCATATGAAAAAAAAATCTCATTTGAAGGTCCCAAACTGTCTTCTCATGATTGTTTGAATCTGCAATTTTGGGGATTATCTCTAAGGTAAAAGAAGTTTTTTTATACATTTTTACTAGCCATGCATAGTTTCTTATCTGTAAACTTTTTGTTCATTATCACTTTAGAGATTTTTA